TGAGGGCAACTATGCCACTCTGATGAGATGTCTATAAGGGAGTCTTGCCTCGTGATGAGCAATGCATTCCGCTTTGCCAAACATTTCGACAGACATTACCCAGGATTAGACCAGATAAGAAGTTTCCCTTACGCTTAGAGATCATTTTCCCGGTATTCTACCCAGGGCATAAACTCGTGGGAACAAACCACGAAGCATTGGCCGATTACCAGCAGACACGATATATGTGTCTGTCTGTACCAGAGCTTTATAAACCAGCCAAGGCATGGAAGATATTGAGTTCAACATCCATCTCCTCTTCCTAAAAGGACTCCAAAATGCCGACGGAACACCCCGCTATTCAGTCTACACCGTCAACCTTATCCCACTTGGTGGCTACGCTATAAGCATATTCGCGTGTACGACCTAACCTATGATGATGACATTGGCTACTGCGTCGGAGAGTTCGGCAACCCCTACGCATTGTCTTCCTCTGACGACGAGAAAGCGACAGAGATGACGATCTTGGTCGTGTTGAGTACGTGAAGCTCTTCTAGCTGGAGTTGAGGTGTTTGGCAAGAACATGAATTTATATATAGACCCGAAAACCTCGATCTTGTTCACAATGAGCTTCGGTTTCCCCTACGAACAGCGGACAATTAACATCCCAGGTCTACGCATCAATATGCCTATATACAAGACCACAAGTCATACAGCAGCACAAGATGGCATTACCCAGAATTTCTCTTCCTGTTGACTTCTTTATTATGCGATATTATCTCAAGTTAATGCATGAGTATTTCAACTATCCCTTCTTCATCCGCCCATACGCTATGGTGTATACACATCTTACTCCATGACAAACAAAAGACTCCTATGGCTCAAGGACCTTTGCTGATGTCTGACGGGTGGATAATACGCAGTTTCTTTCCTCACAAAAGCATCTCACATACCTTTCAAGTTAGCAAACGAGCTTGAGATATTTGTCCTTGAGTATCAAAAATGACTAATCTCAAAACTGTCTCAGTCTATCATAAACTTACCTAGATTTTTATATTCTAGAGTAGAGCCTCTGATTTCTTCTGCTCCATGAGGCCTATATATAAGAATAGCTCGGGGTCTTCTAACAGGAGCCATTGCGACCGAGCCTCTGAAGGAATGTTGCCGAAGGCAATGGCGCTGATCTTGTGGTTTCGGTACCCAAGGAATGGAGAGACCGCCGCGGTCTCGCATGGCGACGCTTGAAGATGAGCATTACTCTCCTCAAAGTAGAGATGAATGATGTTGTGGGGTCTGAAGACTCTCAACTCATCCGTCGCCTCGACTGGCGCTACTCTCGCCGTTCCCCTCAGACCTAGTGTTCGCTAGCCATGCCTTGGACTGGTCATAGTTATAGTATACACAATTCCGATCCCTCTGAGATGGATCTCGAACAACGACACGTTATGATTGCCCGATAGTCAGAGAAACTCAATAGTATATATCCCATGTGATCGAAGCTCACTGAACGCCCTCTAAACTTGGAAAATTGGCCACATATCATTGGGGTTCTTAGCACTAGGGAACAGTTCACCCACAAGGCTTGGGGAAAATGCCTGGCAACACTGGAGACAGTGAAAGAGGGAGAGGCCGAGTCGGGCCCTCGACGAGATCCTCCAGTGCAGCAGCCAGAGAACCAAGTGACAGTCGCGGAATAACCTGTATACCGCAGCGTTCAAAAGAGCATCGAAAACAGAAAAGAGACATCATACTGGCCCGTTGGATGATATGGGTGGGTGAATGCCAACAACAGCCCAGCGTGACATGGTCATCCTGGCCGTAGGTATCACCAGGGGCGTCTTATTCCTGAGAGCACCACAACACGCAACGCCGGCGAATCTGACAGGCATGTCATGGACATCCTCAGTGTTGTTGGCCTCGGCGTTATCACAATCCGTCTCTCCACCAAACAAGGCGATAAGGATGAGATTCTTGAAGCCCAGAATAATCCCCACTCGGGAATCCAGGTCTTCGTGGCCGATATCAACGAATTTGAATGCAGGTGTGAACATGCATGAATGCCGTCATAAGGGCATCTCTGTCTGTTGGCACTTGAACATGAAGGTGAACATGCAGTGCTGCGGTCGACTTGTTCGAATTGGTCAAATGTATCAAGTCGAGTGGGTGTTCTTGAAGGTTATGGATTCGTATCACGACAACATGGAGAGACTGGCAATCACCAAGTGAATCCCATAACTCTCTGCTGAAATCGGTCTTCCCGATTGGATGCAGGACGAGCTGCGGGAGATCTGCGTGTTGGAGATCATTAAGACGCATCTGTGTCAGCCATTCAACTGGTAAGTTTAGACATTATGAGGAAATTTCTCGGCAATGATTCTTGAGGTAATATAGGAGCTAACCGTTAGTCTTCAGGCCACGAGTCAGCCCATGGACATTGACACCGTCTCACACACGAGCACCGTGGACACCAGCTCATGAGACAGGGACTAATAGCCAAATGGACTACCAATGCAATTTCCAACTTCTGATAGGTTTTTATAACAGTATACAATTACAGTCAACTCACTCGTGCAGATTCAGGAAAAGTACGGGATTCCGGGATTAAAGACCATCGCTCTCAGCAAGTTTGACATGCTCGCGAAAGCATATGCCCAGAGTTTCCATGATAAATCAACTTCAGGTAAACAACTTCACAGCCTGTGCCACCTTGAAGGCGCTCCTTGTCTACCACGATGTCGACAAAACTATTAAAAAGACTTTTCGCTTCACCACTTGAGTTGTTCTCCTCCCGACAAATTCTGGATCTGGACAGCGATCTCATCGTGTCTGTCGGTATCCTTACTGCCCGTTACGATGGCATTCACATAGTAATACTGCCGAGGATGACTATGAACAGCATCAATTCATACTTTGGACTTCATCTGATCATCTCCAATGGCCCACCAGAATGGAATTTGTGCCTGCCATACCAGTAAGTGTATTTACGATTGTTTCAAGTTGGCACTGCGCCCTGAGTCTCGCACCGTCAGCCTGCGTAGGATATAGCATATGTTAAAGCAATTGCTCACTTTAACTTACTCTGAAAAGCCAGCAAGATGGCATAGCGAATCGGAGAGAAAAGAAGAATGAAACAGCACCGAGAGGGTTACCGATCTTGGCCGTTTCTTTGTTATAATTTTAGAACCTGAAAGGTTTCCCCCAATCTTGCAGGGCGAAAAGATTCTAGAATGTCACAGCCTGGACGACATCACAGCCGCTAGGCGTTTACAGTCGCATTCAGAAAAGACACAACGATCCCCCTCCCCAACAACATCTCTCTTCACGCATGTCTTCTACACAGAACAAAACAGTTGAAGGGCGATCTTGTGTGCTTATATATATCCTTGCCATTGTCAACATATGATGAGCATGGTGATTTCGACATGACGACTCATGTCTGACTGCCATGACCCCTCAACCTTATCACAGCATGGTTGGTAGAGCTATATACGAGGCTCTGTTTTCCTCGGCGGCCAGTGGACCGGATTCCAGCTCTGGGTTGCCAGTAAGACAAATGAATTTAGACTGCTGTCTTGGCTGGGGGAGAAGCAGGAATTTGAGGGTGTTGGAATACCTTTTCCGGTTCCATGGGCGAAGTTTTGGGTCATGAAAAACCTTCAGGGGATCCAGCTGGACCTCTGGTGGCTTACAAGCTTCCAGAGAGATGAGTTGCGCGATAGGTGCGCGGAACTGCCTGTATGGAATAGCCTCCGGTCAACCAATATGGAGAACGAAGCCGACACAGAGCTTCTGGCTATCCTGGTTAGCAAGGCAAGCCAAAGAAGGATGGGGAGGTAGGGTTGTCTCTACACCAGCCATCTTTAAATGTGGCTTTCGGACTTCAGGGTTGAACAAGGCTAAAGTAGAGCCATTTCGAGCAGACCGAGACCGAGAATCAGTATGCAAACGATCCGAATGACCACTCTGTGACAGAAACAGCGAGCTCACGATCGAAAACGACGAGCTGAAGAAAAACCTGGCTCTTGCGGAGGAATGAATCGCGCGAATCTCCAGCTCTTGAGAATCGGCCGATGAGGTTCATTCCAGAATACTACTCGATTTACATATATGTTCTCGAGAGACTCTCCGGAATATCACACTTCTATTATATATCAGAACCATAACCCCCGGTTTCCTCTCAGCATCGAAGACCAACTGATGATGACAAGTCTCACCAAAGTATATGGGTCATTGTTCGCCTCTGCACTTGGACGGATACAGAGGATGGATTCGTTGCCTATTGTATCAGGCGTCGAGCTGCCTGTTACCACCTAGGCTACATATAAAAGCGAAAAGAAGCGCAATGCTGAAATTTCTCCTGATTCTTCTTCGCCATATTTCAATCTCCTAGCTGCAACGGCACTCATGGGCTCGTAAACTTGCGCGGACGCGCCATACCATGAATGAGAAGCCTGGTTCAGGAGTGATTTATCTCTCCCTCTTGGAGCTGGTCCGCAGTTTGTCGTCCTTGGATTTTACGGGACAGAGTTGAAGAAAGCCGCATACAATCTATAATATCCGGCCTCTCAGTCTTGTGATTATCTATACGTACATTATATAAACGAAACATCCTGGTTGGCGGATTGGGAGGCTCGAGAAGCGGCACGCAAAGCCAGAGTGGCAGCTCGCAAAGCAGCTGAGGAGGCAGCGAGTCAGGAATGGGCTGACGAAAACACCTTATTGGCAAGTCCTTAAAGGATTAGTTGAGATGGAAGGGACACCGCTTTTTGCATTAGGCAATTGTCAGACAACAGCATGAAGTCCGGGTTCTCTGTGATCGCGGGACCAATCGACACCGCATGGATTTTGCCGCGTGTTCGTTTGGAATCATTTCAAATTATACCATGATTGGTTCTGGTCAGAAAGAATCTGATCTCTGTGGCCACCTCAGCAAAGAGTCGGAAAACAAAGAACTCACTGTTCTATCCCCGCCCCCGAAGCCACCATCAGGTCTCTCAACCGACATGCTCTCCCTGTGAAGAATGCGCTCAGTGTCTCACGCGCTGTTTGGCTCCCACGAAGCCAAGCTCCTCAGTATGCCCCATTCCTGCTTAGTTGAGATCTTGAAATGGCATGCCAACGTATTTAGCTCCCGATGAAGATAACCAGAGCGATGGTTCCGGCCACGGATCAGATGAGTCTGGGCCATCCAATGCTCCTATCCCTCCAACCTACTACAGTATGCCGTTGGAGAAGGACCTGCCGGTCTTCTCTCGTCTCCCCAAAGCGAAGAACCTGGCATTGATCTTTGAGAACGCATAATCGATAGGTTCCAATCTTCTCTAATAATCCCGAGACAAGGGACATGTCTCTCATCCTCCAATATTCATCACAGATCTACCGACCTTCGTATAGGAAGGCAGAAGTAATATAGAAAACATCGCAGGATACAGACTGCTGATTGCGGAACAAGAATATATAACCGGGCAGATAAGTTCGCTGCCTTACGTCGCGTCTGTTTGCAACCTTCATCACTTCCTTTGCTCACATACCACCAAAGATTTTCATTTCACATTTCACCACATTCAAAAGCAAACAAAAGCGTCTCCATACAACTCAAACGCTCCCTAGTTCTCAAGTAAGCCCTTATGAGTATTTTCTTCGTTACTCCTCTTTTCGATATTGGGATGCGTCGGGCGAGATAATGACCCAGGCAGACTTCCTCCGCATATATTCATCCGATGCTCAGATCTCGTCTTACCCTTATTGGAAGAGACTTCTTCCCTGAGGCTTCGCAGCTCATGACGCTGGCAACAGTAAGTCATGGCTTACCTGTTTCGAAGGATCTGAGCGAACAACTTCCGAGAAGCAACTGGTCGAACGAGCTCATAATTTGACTTCAAAGGCTGATCCACGTCCAGCCTGCTTAAGCCATCAGAATACCAGTCGGAAGCAGACAGGAAGCGACTTTTGGCCTATATAATCAAGATTGGTAGACGTTCGACCAACTACTCATGATGATAAGCGCGCCTCAGGATTCTTGGGATACGAGAAAATCTCTAATATCAGTCAACAAGTTCCTTAATGGCTTGGTGCCAGGGACTTGTATAAAAGATAATAAGGCTAGACATATCTTCGATCCATGGCCGCAACCAGAGTTTATGCCCAACATTGACCCTTGCGGGTCTCTTAAATCATCACCCCTGACTACGATGCCCACTACCATGATGCTCACCCAGAACCTGACTCTGCTGCCATCACCAACACTTGGTACTCCCGCCTCCTTTCCCTCCAGGCCCTAATAAACAACGTTCCCTATATACTAGCGGACGTAATGTGCGTCCAAAGATTCGATGGCTCACTGAATTCTGCAATTCACATTACTTGCCTATATAGAGAGGAAGAAACAATAAATTCCTTGGGAAAACGCGATATTCTTGCAGGTTAAAGAACAGGAGGAATTTTGCGGCATGGTGGATGAAATCTACGACCAGATGCATCTCATGCTCTTTCAGAGACTGAGTTTCCGTCGCAGGATTGACAAGAGCCCCTTGGGTAAGTTTGTAACACAGTCCATCTGCTTCATTTATCTAACATATGAAGCAGTTGAATGTAAGGGTGCATGAGTAGTGATAGGTCTTCTTGATCCTTTATCTTCTTTGACCTACATGTTCTCGGACCTTCATTTTCTTCATCTTATATCCCCTTGGACTTATTCTCTTGGAATCATCTTGATTCTCACTACGAAGTGGATATCATCTGCTGTTGGAATACCCTAGTACTTAATAAATTCTCTGAAGGGGGATTATAGAAGTCGCAGGAGGATCCATCTGATGCTGCTGATTGGAGTGACATTGCGGAAGACAACGATGGGGATGAGAGGACCTATAAACCTACCGCACCCGAGAAGAAGGCTAAGAAGCTGGGAGCTGCACACAAACCGGCCTTGGTTGCTTTTACCTCGACGCTTACTATATTTGACGAGAGACATGTTAGTCCTCGTCGGAGATGAATCTGTTCAGATGGACCAGACTAGATTTACTTTCATTGCAGATATTGCCTCGCGGCCCAGAGTAGAAATCAGCTAGTTGTATTAAATGGCATTTAGATACATGGCTTATTGATAGTGTTATATCGAGTGCAAGATTCGGCATGGGCATAATCTTAGAATATATCCTTTGGTCATAGGTTTTGAGTCAGTAGCCCCAAACATCGTGATATTTGAGCTTCGCGAAAGCCCGGAGTATCCATAGAAATTGTTATCATAAGTTTCAGTCTCCAGAAGCCTTTTAACGTGAGCATTTCTTGATGACCATCCACCGCTCAGAAGCTTCGGTCCTTCTGAAATTGATTCAGAGTACCACAGTAAACCAAATTCAAGTGCTCATGACATTTACCATGTTTACCCAAGTCTCTTTGTCGCTTAGATGAGAGGCACTATGTTTTCTTGCCTGCCCTTGCCACTTTACAAGTCCCCAGCTCATCGTTGCACGTGAGGGCTAGATGGCCTCACATGAGGGGCGTCGTGCTATACCTAATGGACTGCTTGACCTACGACACAACCATATGTAATGACTGGTAGAGACATACAGTGTTTGGTTTGTCTCAAAGTTTGTGCTTCAACCTTTCTTCTTAAGAACAAATGTGAGTGTTAGCGGGGCAAATCACTCTGGGCGACACATTTTTGTATCTCATTTCATGTCACTTATCAAGAGAGATCAAATGAAGAAAGTAATAAATTCATGGATATCAGCTAGTTATTTTTCTCATCTCATAATCATAGTCTACCGGCAGCAGAACTTCCAAATTCGGTAACCCAACCAACATGTTCCTCAATCGATATTTTACAAGATTCTATTCTTTAGACATCATTCTTCTCGGTGTGAGAAACCTCGCCCTGCTCGTGGCCCTCGTTGAACATCTTGCCACCAGCTCCGGCAACGCTGTTGCGGTGCTGCCAGGTGTCATGGGGCTTCCAGTCAAGGGACTTTCGAGCAACGCTGACCTCGTCGTAGAGCTGGTCGACCTCCTCGAGGGTCAGACCCTTGGTCTCGTAGATGAAAAAGTAGACGAAGGCGATGCACAGGAAACAGCAGCCGAACCAGATGAAGAAGATCTTGGACTGGAGGTTGGCCTTGCCGGAACCGTAGTCGACGAGGTAGGGAGTGGAGTAGGCGATGGCCCAGTTGAAGAGCCAGTTGGTGGCAGTGGTCATACTGAGGGACTTGGCACGGGTCTGGAGAGGGAAGATCTCGCCAGTGACGACCCAGGCAAGGGGACCCCAGGTTGAGGCGAAGAAGAAGATGTAGATACAGACGAAAGAGACGGCAGCCTTCTGGCCAGCCAAGCTCTTGACGAAGATGACTCCATTGCTGTCTTGGCCGGTGGAGAAGGTACCGGACATGGCGACGATGAACTGGGAGACACACATGCCGACAGCACCCCAGAGGAGAAGTGGGCGACGACCCCACTTGTCAATGGCGTACATTCCAGGGATAGTGGAAGCGACGTTGATGGCTGATGTAATCATGGAAATGATGAAACCGCTGGAAATACCGGAGTTCTCGAAGTACTTGGTACCATAGTAGAACTAGAGCATGTTAGTTATGTCTCATAACCACGAGATAGTGAAACAGGAACGTACGATGAAGTTGATACCAGTGAGCTGCTGAAGAGCCTGGAGAGCACAACCAGTGAACTGGCGCTTAAGAATAGGAGGCTTGAAGCAGTCAAGGTACGAAGATGTTCCGAGGCTCATCTCATGGTCGTGGTTCGCCTTGATCTCGCTGAGCTCAGCCTGAATAGCAGGGTGGTCAGGACTTAGACGGCGGATTTTGGAGAGAGCTTTGGAAGCATCATCGTGACGGTCTTTCTTGATGAGGAATCGAGGTGTTTCGGGGAGGATGAGCATGCCACCGAAGAGGACGAGAGAGTAGGCGAACTGAACGGCGATGGGGATACGGTATGATCCTGTGTCATTGCGCTTGCCTGTCGCGTTGTTTACGATTGCAGCGAGGAGGAGACCAATTGTAATGGCCCATTGGTATGCACCGACGATGGCACCTCGAATCCACTTTGGTGCTGTCTCAGACTGGTACAGAGGGACTAAAAGAAAGCGTGTTAGTGAGACCGAAACTCTGAAGACTTCATGTGGTGGTGAGCTTGAACTTACTAATAGCAGAAATTTGACCGACACCAAAACCGGCGAAGAATCGACCAGCCAGGAACATGGGGATAGAAGTAGCAGCAGTTTGGAGAGCGACGCCGAGATTGAAGACCCAAGTGGCGATCATGAGACCGGGACGACGACCGATGTAGTCACTCATGAAGGGGGAGGAGAGGGCGCCGAAGAATGTGCCGGCTGAGAGGATGGAGACGATGCTGGACTCTTGGCCAGTTGTGATGTTGGGGTTGCCCTTGGCGTCTGTGTAGCCGGTGCTGAAGAGTCGCTGCCAGTAGGGCATGGCCAAAATACCAGAGATGGTACCTGTGTCATAACTGCGATTGTTAGCCTCATGATGAATCTCCAGGTGAGAAGCAGAGTGACTTACCCGTAGAGAACACCACCAAAGGCGACAAACAAGCCGATGGCGATAGCAGGCCATGCCTTGCCAGCCTCCTCGGGCTTGCTGAGGGATGCCCTTCGAATTGCGTTCATAATGAAGATCGACACTCAAATAAGAGTGTGCAATAAGAACTAATAGTGTATAAACAAGTGCGATGTGTGTGTGAGATGAGGAACGAAACCCAAAAACCAAGGCGGGAGATTGTCTCTTTTAAACCCCAAACGAGCATCATAAACTTCTGTGTTGTTATACTTAACTAAAGCCTGCATAACCAGAAACCACCTTGCGTAACATGACCTCTCCCCTCCACCTCCAGAAGCTAAAAAGCTAAGCTAGATATCCCACGGCCTGTCCGAGCTAGTGGAGTGCGGAGCAGCCGCACCATCAACTTACGATGGTGTAGTTTAAAAAGGACTAAGCTGGGGGTGAGGAGGTCATGCGCTTCATTGGTTCAGCAAAGATTTGGTGTGGTGGTGGTTTTCTGCAATACTTCCCTCCCCCTCAACGAGTGTCGTCACTGGCGAGGGAGATATAACGCCTTCGCCGTGGAGAGCGGCTTGTACTAAAACGACGGGTAGATGGTGGCGTTTTGATCTTTTCTATATGATGATATAGCTATGGCAGAATATATAGTGTATTACAACTATGTAAAACTATCTCGTCGTCTTGCGCTGCAGAACCCGTCAGAGCAAACAAGCTTCCCCAAACAAACTCCATCTTCCCCAGGTCTTTTTTCCTCGGCGCCCTCGTGCTTAACGGACTCATCTCCACATCCAGGTTTATTTGGAGTACATGCACTCTAATATCCCATGGCCTGGGGTTGTAAGTTAAAGAGTGGATACCCTTTCCCCCCGAGCCAAGAGCCGGGACAGGCCGGCTCGGCGACGCAGATGCCGAAGAGTCTATTACCATTTCTGGTAAGTAAATTTAACTTTGGTGAACGAGCCTAGTTGACGATATCCTTTTGCCACGACTACGGAGTAGAAACTAGAGATATCCAGCTAAAAGAGAGAGTAATTTTCAATAGTAAAGGTGTTACCTCGCTGATGGTGCTTGCAGCAGTCTGTGAGAAAGGTGTTGAAGCAGCTGACGTCCAATTTCGCTGGTGACGCTTTCGGAGCCGGCGGCTTCACGAGTAGCGCGCGCAAAGACCATCAACCACTTCGGCCCTATTGTGGAAGAGCCTCTTTTCTTTTCATGAGGGCATTCAGGCCCAACACTTTTTTTTTCACATCTACTGACTACCTACGCAGTACTCTAATAATAACCCCAAACTCTAGCTCAGTTCAGCTCAGCTCACGTTTACGAGTTACCATAACGACACTGTCATATCATAAAAATCTGCATTGAATGTGGAAACATGTCTCATGCGTTATTGTGATTGCGGAATGGCGTCGCGCCTCGCTTAGAATGAGGCGCTTGGCGCTACAAGGCTGAAGATGTGTGTGTGCGTGAGGCGGCAGAGCTGTAGCTTGTAGTGGCTGTTGTTGTGGTTGGAGAAGAGGATGGGAAACCCTTGTTCAGGCCCTAACCTTAACTTTATACTGGTATTCAACAATATACATGCAGAGAGTTGTTTGTTGTTCCTATCATAGATTTGCAGCCTCGCAATATGCAATTGATGGTCTCGGTTGTACTGAACACGATCTCAAGTATGCTACGGGTCTTGAGAAGCTCAGTTAAAGAATCACAATATATTGAGAACCATTCCTAGTGTCAAAGGCTGTATCGGTATCGTTCAACGACTCGACTGATCAGCGGCTGATTCTTCAACACCAACTCAACAGTCCCGTCTCGACTAGCAAACCACTCGACTCCCACATGCCTCGATTCCCCAGACCCTCACTCCATGGGGCCATCAGCATCAGCATCGCTTAGCACCCAAAACCCCGCATATTGGGGCGAGACCAGCCTGTCAGTTGATGATCATGTCCATTTCCAAAACTCAATCCTCCACCCCAATAACACAACCCTGGTCACTAGCTTGTCGGACCGGTAATGCCACCTAGCGCCAAGTCTTGTTAACAGAAGCACCGAGATCTGCACCGTTTCTCACGGATACCGGCATCACGATATGGAGACCTCGAGCTGCGAACAGGGATAACTCGACTCGTGCAATCCTTTCATCTTTTTTTCGAATCGGCGGTATTATGGAGTCGATCCCTATATGTCTCTCCATCCCCAACGTCCGTGGGTTCATGACAATCCCCGCGGGGGAGGGGGATACCTGATCACCGTTGGACCAATATAACCAATGTCCGTTTATCACTGCGACCTTCCTAACGTTAGTCTAGTCTCTTTTATCGGACCGTTGAATGCTTAACACCTCCCGCTATTGTTTGACTACAACCCCCAGGTTGTATGACTGCATCCTTCTCCATGGGCACCCCATATCGTCTCCAACATTTGTAGATTGGCTCTGCCTACTCCGTACTTTTTTGATAACGCTACCCTTCTGTGGTTGGGTATGCGGGGGTGGCCATGTCACCGTAGGATCTGGGGAACTTCCTCCGCCGCTTACATGAAACAAATCCTTCATTGCAACTCACTGGCCCTCCCATGGAAATCTCTGACGCTTCAGATATTATCAGTCACTTTCAGATGTGCAACCAGCGAAACGGGATAGAGTGAATTGAATCGCTTCGTCTCTGTATCGTCTATGTGACTAATCTATAATTACAACTCAAGGAAAGTTCCCATGACCTCTTCCGCTGATATACACATGAATGATAGACTTGAAATCGATATACGCTTTCCTCCCGAGCGAGAGCTCTGTCACCCCGTATATGTGTGTGGCGTCTGCTAGTCCTCTGGAATCGCGACCTCCATATCCTCGATTTTCCGTTTGTGCTAAACCATTTGGTCCATCTTCTCCCTTATCTGCTTTGCCAAGCTTTTAAGATCTGTCACAAGTTGATCAAGCTCGTTGCATTGGGTAATCTTCAACGTCGCAAGCTGTTGCTGATTTCGAGAGCGTTGCCTAACAAGGCTGGATCGTTGTACTGCTGCCTCGTACAATGCTAGGGTCGTCTGTTCGTACGCAGCGAAGTCCAACTCGCCGTTAGTGTCCGACCTGTTCTCGCTACCACAGGATGTAGGGTCTGTATCTTGATCATTCAGGTCGTCCAACTGGGGGGTTTCTGGGGCATGAGAACCTTGGCCATCGTCCTCATCAGCCGTCTCGTCAGAGGGCTCACCGCCTACAGGCGATCTATGGCCATCACCCTCATCAACATTCTCAGAAGGCTCGCCACTCACAGGCGACTTGTCATGCTCGCCCTCATCAGGCTTCTCCTCAGAAAGCACGCCACTCACAGGTGGTATATGGCCAACCTTTTTCTGAGCCTGAGATTTGCCGCAAGTGGCATGAATGAATTTCGGGACTGTGAGATATTTTTGTGGCTGATCAGGCTCTGCAACTTTAGCTTCAACTTTCCCCTCAAAAGACTTTTCGTTCTTGTGAACAGGGCAGTCGACCATACTCCCGGCTTGAGAACCATCCCTGCTGGCGTTGGTAGTCTTGGATCCGTGCTTGCTGGAAGCCTCATCAAAGTTGACCAAACCGGTAGTGTCCCTCCGTGCCATGATGCGTGTTGCGTCAGGCCCAGGGTCTGAACCATCCGGACCAACAATGGTATAAAAGAAAGGTACCATGCACTCGAAAAGGTAATTCTGTATGCAAATAAGAGCAAGGGAGCTTGTTAGGCCTGCATCTCCAAGAGGCACCATTCGCTCGGTAACGAATTCTCTCAAATCATGGTCTGTAATGCGCCCAGATCGCAGGCCCTTGCGGATCAATGCTCGGATGTTGTCATCGTTGTCTTCACTACGGATAGTGTCGTAGAACACGTAACGTGGTCTACTGTCGGGAGCTTGACCGAAGAAGGCAGAGATTCTTGCTATAGCGGCTTGCTCAGAGGCATTTGGTGCACTGACAAAAAACTCGGAGACGCTTCTTTCTTGATCTTCAGTGCTGATGAGATTTGCTTTCAGTTGATGGTAAACCATTCGTTTGTGATTTTGCATTGCCCTCGTGATCGTTGGAGGTGATGGGGTAGGGAATGGATATGGAACCCTGTCAGGAGTTGTTTGTATGTCTTTTTGGGATGAAGCTGCAGCACTCTTGCTGCTCTCTCCTTGCTGCTCGCCATTTTCTTTCTCGTTCCTGTTGGCCATATTTGCCGATGTAAGGGATGCAGTGTGTAACGAATGTTGTGGATGTGGATGAAGATGGAGATGATGGAGATGAAGATGAATGAAGACATTTGGTTGTTGTATGGACTGATTTATGACCCAACTGGCTCATACCTAAATGAAGTAGTAACTGGAAGCATGATTGATATTCGGCAGGCTCAGTCCACGAGGTGAGTAGAGCCTCTGCGGGCGTTAGGGAGCCTTGGGGGGCGAAAAAACAGCAAACCTTACTGTAGGGTGTTAAAATAAACTTAATAAAGGTTATCCTAAGCTTAATGAAAATGCCTTAAATTTAATAGAAATATCTTAAATTTATACTAAATTACTTAAATATTTTTATCATTTAGGATCAAGGTCCTGTATTTTCTGTCTTCCCCTAGGGGAGCAAAGAAACAATAGATCTTAATATGGGAAGAGGTATCCTAGACTCATGCCTGCCAATTTACCTATGTTACCTAAATCTTTTTCTCATGTGAGATCAACCTGGAAAGTCCAGGGTTCTTTTCACCCCCTAGGTAGGCACAGGTAGACCTTACCTTATAGAAGTCCCCGACCTCCATGGCCTCAAGATACAGGTAAGTGCCCTCGACCACGACGCGAGACAACCTTTGATAGGCTTTTCTCAACATCCAAGTGTAGGGTAGGTAGTATTAGAATGTCTCTTGCCTTTTGACGGCTCCAGCCCTCAGGGGGCAAGCAAGATAAACTCGGCAAAAGATATCCAAACTTATGCCAAGTTACTAACCTAAGTCTTCTTTCCATTCAGGAACAAATACATAAGGCTATGTAAGGGCTGAAATGGAACTCGGGTTCTTTAAAAAAAAAAAAGGAGGTAAATTCTCATAACTTCAGGGCTGTCGGATGATTCTATATCAGCATATCTGATATTAGTCTGTTT